AGTTCACATTAAATTAATTACACTGCTCAGAGCTGCTGGAAAGTGTCAGGGAACCAGCCCACCAGGTGCGGAGGAAAGTGACGAGGAGTCGTGGTGAAGGTTTGAGCAAGGAGTGCCGTTCTCTACCAGCAGCCTTGCATGTTTATTAGCCTTGCGCACATAACATCATGTTGCATATACACGTGTAGCACACGGGTGGAAACAGCTAGGGTTTGCATATCTAATAATAACTAATCTCTACCAGGATATAACTCCAGACAGCATGACGGCCACGTAGGCTTTGTGGTTAAGCAGCTCGATACTAACGCATACAGGTGGGGAAACAAGTCAACAGGCTGCTATTTTCCAGTGCACCCCCACAGGAAAGCATGATACATGTGGTCATGCCCTATTTCTCCTCAGTGACCAACCAGATTAAGGCAATAGCATTAATGGCCATTGATGAATTTGTCTTATAAATCCAAATAATCACATTTTTGTGATGGCAAATTCCATCTATTATTTATGGATGAATGGCAGATAGATCTGCATGAACCTCACTATGAAAATATCTACCACTATTAGCTCCCATCCTCCTACTATCATAAAACTCACAAAGCATATATTCTATGCTTGGAGAGCATTGTAAGCAGGGCAGCATGGTATGTGGCAAACTCATTCACGAAAAGTGTCTTCCGTGCATGTATTTTCCATAACATGATTTTCTAAAGTCCCTACTTGGTTATTAGTAGTGATGGTGGTTGCTTTAAGAATTCCAAACCAGTCCTAAAAAGCAAGGTAACATTTCTTAATATTTCTCTCTATTAAATTTACAACAGGTCTGGAATTTAGTTGTGGCCAAGAATCAGCATGTGGGGATGTTTTGTGAATACTGCCATCTAAAAAGATGTTGTCTCCACGTACTCATGAATTTTTAACTTCCTACCATTATTTGAAGGGGGGGGAGAGAACAGAGTTCTGTAAATAAAAGCATTGCTCAAAACTCAGCTCTGTATTGAGAACCTACTTTATTGGCTGCGGGCCTTTAGTACCACAGTAAGATTTCTATATCATAAGCATCACCCTATTCTTGTTCACAAGCAAAGCAAGAACAGACCATTCCTTCCATGAATTTGTATAAACTTCTTTGTTCACTGAGGCAGAAGCCTATTACCTCAACCTGTTGCAATAAATTCCATTTTCTTACACACACTTGCCTGGGCATAAGTTCAATTGAACACATTGAGTAGGCATGCATAGGACTGCACTTTGTCTTTTGTGTACTATTTCCTTGGACTTGCTGCCAATCAGTTTCATTGTGTGACCCACCAACTTCCACTAATGAGAAAGAATAAAATAAGTTACGTTGTCTCTCTATTATTCACTCTCTCAGGTCCTAATTTTATTAGTTACCTCATATCTCCCATTTATTTCCTTTTTTCTATTTGTGTACCACCCATATAATTTGAACATTTACAAATGCAGTTCAAATTCTCAAGCAACGCCCCCCACATACACAATAAATCCAACTCTAAAAAGCACAACAACAAAAGTAATCTAAAACCAACAGCCGCTAAAACGATTCAAAAGCAACAGAAAAACAAGAGGAAAGAACGTGGTGAAAAGATACAGATACTCACCAGAAAAGATACTCACCAGATAGAGATATCTACTGTGATTAAAACTTGCATTAAAAGGCCTGAAAGAGCAAAAAGTGTTACCAGAAAAGCATAATATAAATACTAAGTGAGCCTCTCTGAAGTCTTGGGGTATCACTGCTGAAAAGGCTCTGCCTCATAACCACCTATATTAATCAGGGAACCCTAGAGAAGGGCACCTCATTTTTTCCTCTCTCTCGACATAAAGCGTTGTCTCTTACTACACAGAGATGGGGAGGGATAAGGCAACATTGAGGTTTCCATGGTGCAAACACACCAGTAGTTCCAAATCCAGGGCATTCGCACCATGCTGACCTTGGTACCTGGCACTAATAAAATTGGATCTCCTCTTATATCTCCTTATAAGCATGTCTTGTGGAGTTTGGGCTTTCCTTTAAATGGCATCCCTCACAAACAGTTTTTGAAGCTCTGTTCAGTTTCAAAAGGGAATATGCTACAAAATGTTGCCATTAAAGGGACAAACAAGTTCCCTTGAGGTTGCAAAGCTGGTTTTCCTGTTCTTTGGATCCCAGTCCAAAGAACTGGGTAGGATCTGAGTGTTCTAGGTAGTTGACAAGACTCAATGAAAGAAGTAAGTGTGGGCAGCAAATCACTCGGTCACTAAAGCCTACTTTACATATTACATGTCTAGATGGCACCAAGATATATTTGGTGCAGATCTGAAAATATAAAACGTGAATGCAACTATTCTATGTATGGAAACACATCTATCACATACAGTCTCCAGGAAGCCCTGGCTTTCCGCAGCTCCCTGTTGAGTATTAGCTCAGTGACAAACTTCATTGTCCTTCTGTAAAATTACACTGTGGTGTTTATTTCTTACTTGCATTGAGAACCTGCCCTTTACCCAATGGTCCCAGGGCTGGTTAGGAAAATGGCACAATTAAAATGAGTACAATCTACATGAAAGTCATAAAATAAAACCACAAAACAACCAGTGAAATAGCAGCAACACAGAGCAATGCAGAAGACTGAAATGGCCTCTTGAAATAAAACTAATGGCTAATTTTGGGGGGAAAGAGCTGCCCAGAGACTCGCTGCATTTTGCTTTGTGTGCCACACTGCCTGTAAGGCGAATAATCAGGAGCCCATGAATATTCAAACTTTGAATATTCAAACTTTAGTTTCCCATTATTATTAGTTCAATTTAAAGACAGAGGGTCAAGCAGCACGACTGTAAAATATCTCTGTCAAATAACACTTATCCTCTGAAATGTATGCCTGTTTGAATACTATTACAAAGAAATGTCTGAAATAAAATATCAAGCTGTGTAGAGACTAACCTGACATTACTGAAAACATGAGTGGGCCTGTTGTATGCCTTAATCTGATTGATCTTTTAAAAGAAATAAAAGCCTGCCGTCTTCAAATATCAAAAAGTGGCCCATAAATGGAATCAGCGGGGCATGTTTGAAACTTAGATTTGCGATCCTGTAAAATAGTCAATAAACATTCCAAGGAAAACATAGGAGGGCAGTTTCTATGAGTGCGATTCCTTTTACTTGCCATGAAATTACCGCTGAACTCTTGTGGCAGAGAGGCTGTGGACAAGGGCTGAGCATAAGAGACTCTGAAATCCAAGAAGCAGTGTGGGAGGCTTAGCATTCTTTAGCAGTTTTGAGGTGCTCATGGAACATGAGATGAAATATCACAATCAAGTCAGAGTTACTAGCATTTGAACAAGATACAGAAAGCTCTGGGAAAAGGGTGGCTAACCTGTGGCCCTCCAGATACTGTTGGACTACCTCTCATTATCCCTGACCATTGGCCATGCTGGTTTGAGCTGATGGGAATTGGATTTGGAGTCCATGAAGAAACTGAATTATTGCATGCTGTCCCAGTCTCTGAGTGGTATGAAATCCCAGGAGTTGTAGGCACTTACCCAAGGTTCGTGCTTCCTCAGAGTGAGGAGCAATGGAGGCTGTGGTATCTTTAGAATATATAATTTACACATGTATGCAATCTGAGCCACGGTGGAGGGATGGGCAGCATTAAATGTCAAGGGGGTCTTACTTCTCCCATAGCTGCAGTCTTGGATTCCAACATAAATCAGGCATAACTTTGTCTCCCAGCTGCCCAGCGTGCAGCCTGCCAGCTTCTAGATCACATAACTCTCAGCTCTGGCCTTTGTCTTTCTAACTACTATTGAGTTGAGGGAGGGCGGCCATCCACTTGTTATCTGGCACAGAGCCACTCCCTTTGTTACCTTAATGGCCCATACTTAAATAGCCATTACCTCACCGTGAAACAAGCCTAGCTATTCCAGGAATTTAATCCATGCTGGAATCAGGAATTAGAAGAGGTCTCAAGCATGCAGCCTACCCCACACCAACTCATAGCAGTATCTTTATGAGGAGAAAATTCTTTCATTTGAATTGTAAATAGTTAATTGTGTAAACAGTTAACTATGTAAATGCGGAGGGGGGGGATTGGTTTTGTGGGGTAGGTGTGCATGGTTTTGAGGAAAACAGGCCCATGTGTTGCTGGGCCAGTTATGAACCACAGACTGGAGGTTGCCCTATGTTAAACCAACAGCTAATTAGAGTACCCTTTACTATCCGCCACACTTAAATAAAAGCCTGGCTAGAGGACTTCATTTGAAGTCTTCTCTCAGATTCTCCCCCACCCCACCCCCAGTTATCTCCAGGCAACTGCCAGTTGCTGACACATTGTCTTCAGCTTTTCTAAAGGATTGCTGCTGGAGTATTCCTCGTCTCCCCCTTGCAAACTCTTTTAGCTTCTACCTTTAGTGATCTCAGCTTGACTCTCATCATCTGCCTTCTACCACAAGGATTCCTCAGCTAATAGCCCCTTTTCTGGACACCAGAAGCTGGCAGCAAAGCTATTGCTCCAGGTCTCACAACATGAAAGAACCATGTTGTGAGACCTCCAGATTCTCTCTCTCCTTTTCTCTTCAGAGTCTCTTCTTAGGTTCCCTCAACAGATCTCTCTGAAAGACTTCCCAACTGACCTTTAAACGTTGCTGGCCTTTTATTATGACCAGCCAGAGTCTTCCAGCCAATCACCACGTTTTTACCACTCAGGATCACAGAATGTTCAGGTGAGCACTTTTTCATGCTGTTGCATCATGGGAGCAAAGATGGCTGCAAGTTCATCACCAGTGTGAAGATGCCAGTTCATACAATTGGTTCCTCTATGACCAGGCATAGGCAAACTTGGCCCTCCAGATGTTTTGGGACTACAATTCCCATCATCCCTGACCACTGGTCCTGTTAGCTAGGAGTGATTGGGATTTGTAGTCCCAAAACATCTGGAGGGCCAAGTCTGCCTATGCCTGTTCTATGACTATGCAATCCTAACCAAGCTATAAGCCCAGTAGACACCTCATACATATGGCTCAGTTGGTAGAGCACGAGACTCTTAATCTCAGGGCCATGGGTTCAAGCACCATGTTGGGCAAAAGATTCCTGCATTGTAGGGGTTAAAACTAGATGATCTTCAATGTCCCTTTCAACTCTTCAATTCTATGATGTATGAGCCAGCCCTATAACCAGACACTTAGAGTAGTTTCAGAGCTGCCTTTCCCATACATTGTTGTCACTGAGCTTTCAGAGACAAGTTTTTGGCAACTTGTCAGAAGCAGAGGCACAGGAATTTATCAGGTGCAAGGCTTCTTCAGAAAGTCAAGTCTCATGAATGCCACTCAGACCCTCTGGGGAGCTGGCAGCAAAGCTCCAGGTCTCACAACATGAAAGAACCACATCAACAGCATTATGCTTCAGCATTTGCAATTAATAAATTCACTTCCACCATGGCAATAACACTGGCTCATAAAAATGGAATCCTCAAAAGTAATTTCTGTGTTTTGGGTTTGCCCCACACTTCAACTGTGCCACTGACTTCAGTGAAGGAATCTTGCTTTGACTGTTCTGTTGTTTGGCCTGCAAATGTAATCAACATTTAGCCTATAACTCCTTTAATCTTTCTTTTCTCAAGACTCTCAGGCAGATAAGTAGCTTTGCTGATAGCCTGACTGGAGGGCAGGGCAATTGATTCATCACCCCCGACCAATATCAGCATACTGGCTCAGCCACAAACTTTAACTTTATATCTGACATTTACAGGAGTTGATAAAATGTGAAAGGGGGTTCCCGTATATCGTAAGAGAATCCAGTAATACATATTTCAGTTTTTGAAACATAAAATCTAGCATACTGCTGTGTTAAATTCTCATATCAAATGTATAGACGGTTTTTGAAAATATTATATTCACCTTTCTATTCACCCAGGCTTTTTAAATAACTTAGGTTTTACACTCTGGGACTCTTGGATTTAAATTGAGTTTTTAATTGTGTTTCTGGTTTTTAATTAATTGGATATCTTTTTTATTGCTTTATTCTGCATATTTTATTTTTCCTTTGTGAGCTACCTAGAAAACTCCTGTTAAATGAGGACGGGGAGTTATATAAATCTATATAAATAAAATATTATTGAAATACTTTGACACAGGACAGAGTAAAAAAAAAAGGGAGGGGAGGCAACCAACTGACTATTTGGCACTCATACCTCTCAGACCTGATACTAATGGATGGTCCCACTTCAACATGTTTCTATTCCCCAGGCAATAGGAATAAAATATCATTCATAGGACACTGTGTTGTATTTCTGTAATATGCTCAGCTAGCGTTAACCTAGATCAACTTGTCACTAATTCAAGTCATTATTCCTAGCAACAAAAGAGACCCTTGGAAGTTTGATTAAACAAATGTAATAATGAAAAGTACATAGAGCCCAGCCACTGTATGAGAATAGCAATTTAATAATCTCCAAGATTGTTGTTACAAGACTTCCATGTGTACGGCATGGAAATCTTTAAACTGGAGTCAAAACATCCTGAAAAGTGACAAGCTATATGGATATAAAATACAGTGGCATGGAAATATTATTCCTCAGAGCCTTTTGTGTGCTTTACAAAAGTGGAAGGTTTCTGAGAGATTATCTCCAGTAATTAGAAGTTCCTGGTTGTGTTTACATGGTTAGCAAGTGTAAAATATGATGACCTGCTGAGGATTTGCAAACTGCTAAGTTATAATGATGGATCGTGGGGAGAGGACATGTAAGATTTCTCAGACTTCTGCTGGGAATGCTTCAAAAGTATAGCATGTTGTTTTCCCTGGGGTTTATAACACCTCTTCTGACTTAATCGGCTTGCCCCTCCTTTTTCCTTTTCAGCTCTCCAGGAGAATTTCTTTTCCTTTGGAAAATCTCATGATTTTCCCAGTGTTAGAGCAGTTAAGGGAATAAACATCTTCCCCCAACTGAAACCATTAGCTTAGAAGGAACGTGCCTTCTAATAATAAAAATCATGGTATCTCTCTAAGTACCTTTAATTTAATAGTTCTGATAATCATTTTATGGGTGGGTTGTTTTTTTTAATGCTATCACATAAAAGAAAGAAAGAAAACTGGAGATTCCCTAGAGTGGGGGCATCACTACAAACCAAACTGCAATTTATTTAAAATTATTAAGAATAAATTATAAGAAGTCTAGCAAAGCCTCTTTTTTTTTTTGCATTTAATTTACATTCTCATGGCACTTGAGCAAATTATTCTTCTTTCCTGTGATGGGATAATGTATGCAAGCCATGTTCACTTATTTTATACAGTAACATTTGAACAGAGTTATCACTGTATGTTTGCTCTCAGAGAAATAAAGCAGAGAAATGAGTAATGCTTCTTTACCTCCAGTCTCTGCTGCACAACGAATAATACAGTACCCAGGGGCATCATTTGAAATGGGAGGTGGGAATAGCTTTGCAGATCCTCTCACTGACAAAAGAATGAAATGGGGAGAAGAGGTGAAAATGATTCAGGCCCAACTGTTTACAAGGGACCCCTGACCATTAGGTCCAGTCTTGGCCGACTCTGGCGTTGTGGCGCTCATCTCACTTTATTGGCTGAGGGAGTACAGCTTCCAGGTCATGTGGCCAGCATGTCCAATCTGCTTCTGGCGAACCAGAGCAGCGCATGGAAACACCGTTTACCTTCCCGCCAGAGTGGTACCTATTTATCTACTTGTACTTTGATGTGCTTTCGAAGTGCTAGGGTTGGCAGGAGCAGGGACTGAGCAACAGGAGCTCACCCCGCCATGGAGAAATTTGGAGAAGTGCAAATGTTGAAGGCTAATTGTGTTTTGCGTCACATATTGTTTCAGAAAATGCGAATTAGGTGGCTTCACCTTTAAATGCAAACTGAATGGAATTTCTCCTCCATCCCTAGCCCAGCTAGTCATCTGGTACAGCTTCCTTCACTTCTAGCTCATTAGCCTATCTGCTGTAGATCCTCCTCGTCTGCTAAATCTTTTGGAAAAGAGAATCCACCATGGAAGGGCATGATTGTCCACCAGGACGTTGCTTGCTTGAACCTTCAGAACAGGAACAAATGGACAAAGGTCTGCTTGAGGCACACCCAGTTTGGTTTTGCAGCATAAATGAACAAACAGAAGGCAGCTCTTTTCTCTCTCCAATTTGCTAGAACAGCAACAGTTTATGGAAACATGGGTACCTGTTCACCCATGCCATGCCTAGCAGAATGAGCGAAAAGAGGCTACCTTAACAGTGAAGGATTCATGCTGGGCACCTCTGAAACAAGTTAGCAGATCTTTGACCTGGGAGTCCTATAAATATATAATTTGACTTAAATTGTCATGTAAAAGTCACAGATGAAGACCAACGGTCAAAATGCCTTCAGTTTATATATGATATAATATCCATACTTTAGATGTTGATAGTACTGTACATGGTGTGCAGCCATACTTTTTGTCAATAGGAAATGTGTAAGTATTGATATAAATAAATTAGCGAATGTAGTGTGGTTTATTGTTGCTTCTAAATCTGACATTTTGTCTATTGCCTGCCCTGCAACTCACGGATAAAATTCTTTCTTTCTTTCTTTCTTTCTTTCTTTCTTTCTTTCTTTCTTCTGTGACTGTATTTATATATCAGACTAAGAAAGTGCTTTAACATTTTACAGATAGCACCAGCCACTTATTTGTGCTAATTATTATTCATGCATTAGCACCCATTAGTCTGCACTTTTTTATATAAAAAAAGGAGGGGGAAGGGAAATCAATCAGCATTCCAATCTTGCTTTCTTAGCAGAATGTCATTATTGTGGTTTTCAAAATCTGGCAAAAAGCCTAAGAAGAGACCCTTTTTGCCACTCGGACTGTCTAATCCAGACATCATTATTGATCAAACTGACATACACCTGCCAAAGTTGGTTGAAACCGTGTTCCATGAAAGACAGGGATCTGGAGCTGTCTGTTTTTCCTTCAGAATCCTTATCAGCAAAAATAATAGGGAAATCAGTATATGAAATCACATGGAGAAATACAGAAAAAAGAATACAACCAATGCTATAACCGATATGGCTCAGGAATATAACTGAATGTTAACTCATGAGAAAAGTGGAAAATGAATTTTTTAAAATGATAGAGATTATTTTAAATTTCAGTACTAGTGAACTAATTCTTTAGAACAGTCACTTATTGCCTACTAACTGAGAATATATTTATATGAAATAAATACCCTTAAAACGCAGTATTATAAGTTGGGGTGGGGAGAAGAGATACAGTACACCTAAGTGCTAAACTAGATGTCACCCTGAATATATGACTGCCACTTGGGGTTTCACATTTTACATTCAACATGTGTACAATCTGTGAACCTATGTATACAAATAGGTGAACTGTATGCTCACACAGTTATTCACATGTAATTTTCAGTGAGCAGAGTCTGTGTATACAGTAGTTAAGCTGTACAAATCAACGTGCACACTCGTTTACACAAACACTTGTACATGTGTAAAGACAGCTTGTGCCTGTGCCCAGTGTAATGTAACCACAGAAAGCCATACTTGTGCGATTAGCTCTTCCTCCATTCTAGAAGAACATACCTTTTGTCAAGATTTAGCAGGGGATATAAAAAAGGGGTGTGTTTTTTTAATGAAAAAGCTGCCACCTCATCTGTAAAATCATGCCACCCCTTAAAATCATGTCATTTCACTGCAGAGGTAGAAAGCTGAAATGTCATCCTTAATGCCTCTTCTCCCAGGCTGTTGGCTAATTTAACAATCTATGGCCTTTTAAACAGGGTGGAGGGGTTGTATTTGTTTGTTATTATGGTGTGCATTTTTGTGATTTTATATTGTAAACCGCCCAGTGATCCTCAGGTAAAGGGTGGTAAAGGGACCCCTGACCATTAGGTCCAGTCGTGACCGACTCTGGGGTTGCGGCGCTCATCTCGCTTTATTGGCTGAGGGAGCCGGCGTACAGCTTCCGGGTCATGTGGCCAGCATGACTAAGCCGCTTCTGGCGAACCAGAGCAGCGCATGGAAATGCTGTTTACTTTCCCACTGGAGCGGTACCTATATATCTACTTGCACTTTGACGTGCTTTCG